AAGTGTCCTACAATTCAGTTCAATTCTGACACTATCTACATGGAGTTCTGCAGATACCACAGGCTGGGTCCTGCAAGGCTGTGCCACCTTCTTCAGATGTCAGTCCCAAGTTGGTACCTGTGTTTCTGACAGATGGGCTATAAATTAGGGTTCCCCTCATTCCGTCCTCCAGTTTGATTAATTCATTAGATGGTTCATAGAACTCAGGAAAACCTTGTACTTACTAGATCACTGGTTTATTTTAGAAGGCTATAACTTGGGAACAGTCAGATGAAAGAGATGCATAGGGCAAGGTGTGAGGAAGGGACATGCAACTTCCATGGCCTCTCCAGGCACACTACCCTTCCAGCACACAGAGGTGTTTAGCAAACCAGAAGCTCTCTGAACCCTATTCTTTCAGGAATTTTTTGGAGGCTTTATTACATGGTTATGATCAATCATTAACTTAGTCTCCAGTCCTCCTCTTCTGGGGTTGGGGAGCGGGGGTGAGGCTGAAAGTTCCAAGCTTTTAATCATGGCCTGGTCTTTCAGGTGACCAGCCTCCATCCTGAAATATAGGAGCTATATAGGAGCTATATAGGAACCCACTGAGTGTATCCCCATTAAAACAAAAGACACCCAATCACCTAGGAAATCCCAACATACTTAGGAGCTCTGTATCAGGAACCAGGGTCAATGATCAGGTGGTAGAACAACAACAACAAAAATGATCCCAGTACTCTATCTCTTAGGAAACTGCAAGCGTTTTAGGAGCTTTATGCCAGGAACTGGAAGCAGTTCCATATAATCATTTTTGTTCCATTTAATCATTCACATGTAGTCTTATCTAAAGTCAGACTTTGCATGTATCTTTGCAATGATGAAATCAACATTCCCAGCAGTCTACTACCTACATGTTTACTGAAGTGATTTGTCTGTCTCCCTTCAATTGTGGATTAAAGAATGTTGACTAGCACAGAAATCCTTTTCATCTCCTTAACTCCAACACATAATGTTTACATCAATCGTTCAATCACCACTATGCTGGTATGTCACCATTCTTAATACTATCCAGTCCAGAATTGTCTGCCTTATTCCAAGTCTTTGTGAGAGAGAGATGCCCAATGACTCACTGAAATTAAATATCATGTCTTCATCACTCCCTTCATTTGGACTGCAGTAACCTCATCATAAAGGGGATAGGACCAGTTTGACATAGTCTGTTTTTAGTCAACATGTACTAACTTCTAGTGACCATCACCTTTGTGTTTTGTTTTCACAACTAGTGTATTTAATTCTTTGGCCTATAATTTTGCCAGAGATGGTCTACAAGCCTCAAGTTCTATGATTTTATCACCTACTTTCATCTCCTTTAAGAAAAGGACAACAGTATTCTCCTGTCACCTGGCATATATCTTCTCAATGAGATATCAAAGGTAACACATCAGGGTTCCATAGTAACATGTGCATGCTATTTTAGCAATATGGGTCTTTAGACTTGGGTTTAAAGCAACTAGATATTGTCTTTCTAGATACTTTTCTTGATTTCCATTGTGCTCTAATTTGTTTATTAGGCTTTCAATATGTACACAACTTTGTACTCAGTACTAAGGGTACAGTTGTGCACATGGAGTTTACAGTTGAATGGAAGAGACAGAAATGCCTAGGAAATTATCATAGCGTCATAATCCCTAAGAGGGTTATGGGAGTCTACAGGGGGAGGGAATAGGTGAGTCTGGGGTTAGTGGTGGTGACACCTGATTAGACTTGCATTTTAGAGAGATGATACTAGTGGTACTTGAGAACTGGGCTTCACTCTCAGGTTGCATAGGAATCACCTGGGAATTGAAAAAAATGCAGATTCTGACTCATTATGCCTGGAGAGGGGCCTGAGATTCTGCACTTCTAATCAGGTCCCAGGCAGGGTTGATGGAGGTAGTCCTTGGACTACACTTTGAGGAGCAAGGCTTTAGTGGGTGGATTAGAGAATGAGAAGAGTAGAAGCAAGGGGCTGCATTAGAGTGCTGGTGTAGTGGTCCAGGGGAAAGATGATGAAGCGATGAGGCCACCAGTGAAGAGACACTCATTTCACTCTTTGAAGCCTATAGATCGGTCTCCTTTGTAAAAAAATATTTAAATAGGTGTTGAGTATTTTCTTTTCATCTGTCAATAATTGCACTGGCTAAATTATGGAGAAAGGAGGGAGCTCAGTTCCAGTCTTAGTTCTTAATTGGCCGCACTTTAAGCCCATTAAGGCCTCAGTTATCCCATCTCATCTGTGAAATAGAAGATTGGTTGTTATGGGTTGAGTTGTGTCCCCCCCAAAATTTATATGTTGAAGTCCTAATTCTCAATACCTCAGAATGTGACATTATTTGGAAATAGGGTAATTGCAGATGTAATTAGTTAAGATGATGTCATGCTAGAGTAGACAGGGCCCCTAATCCAGCTGACTGGTTATAAAAAGGAAATTTGTACACAGACACATACACTACATATGCCATGTGAAGCTTGGAGTTATGCTGCTACAAACCAAAGAAATAACTGAAGGAAGGAGAGAGACCTGGGACAGGTAGATCCTTATTGGACACCTTCAGAGGGAGCACTTGTAGCCTCTAGAACTGTGAGACAATAACTTTCTGTTGGTCTAAACCAACCAGTTTGTGGTACTATGATAGAACAGCCCTAGCAAATTAATATACTAGTTTATATATTTAAGGTAACTTTCAGGTGTCAAAAAATATGCAATCTTCTGTACCTATCCTATAGGAAATCTGAATTAGATGTGATTATACTGAAGATTTCTGTTTATTTCATGCATTATAAATTTGTGATTTTTCATTTAAATTCAGATTCTCCTTTTAGAGAATTCTTCCTGTTTTTGGCCTTTACTTATGTTTCTTATGTAGATTTTTTTACTAATAGGCTCAACTGTTCAACCCAAAGAAAACACCCTCTTGGGCCTGCTGTTGAAAGGTGCAGAGAGGTAGCACAACTGGAATGCTTTAAGACAGATTTCGGGACATGCATGGAACAACAGTGGTGGGTCTGCCCTTACCTCAGCAAAAAGTAGCCTTTTGAGAATTATTTATTTTTGAACCACATGGGAATATTTTAGCAAAGCATTGTCCTAAGCAATTCCAACAACAGTAACATCAAACCCATAGAAAGCAAACAAAAATACCTGTGATAATATAAAAAACAACTGTGTTTTTTCAGTTGTCATAGAAAAAACAGAACTATGTCTTTTATTTCACCATTAATGTAGCCAATTTAATGTACTCTTTTATTCCCTGGATTCTTAGTTTAAGGAATAAATGGGAAAAATAAAAGGCACCTTCTTATAAGATGAAGGGAAATTTTCCCTATATAAAAGGACAAGTATCCTTTCCCTACTCATTTAATGTAGGAACTTATTAGACTCCTGTAAAAAGGAAGCGGGTTAGAATGAAAGAAGCTTCGCAACTTCAGAGAGGAATGGAATTAGTAGAGTAGTAAGGTTGCTTTCTGGGTAGGAGAACTCAGCAGGGTGTGCAAACTAATCTTACTTATTTTCTTGACAATAACTAGCATTTGACAGGAAATCTTACAGTAATCACAGCATCTCAGATTCTGCATCTGCAAAACAGAAGTAATCTTCCTCTTAGGCATAGAATACAAGAGGGATAGAAACATTTCATGGAAAGAGATTTGATTTTTCATTAAATGTCTGTATCCATGGAAAGATTTACTTCAATAATAACAGCAGAACCATTTATTAAGCATGTTAAATATACTATTAGACACTGGAAAGGTGTTTTGCACATTTTTCTCATTGGCTCCTCACAACAACCCCCTTATGTAGATGTGTTTTATTCCCACTTGATAGTTGTAGACTCTGAGGCCAGAAATATTAATTAACTTTCTCAATGTCAAAGGCCAGGAGGGCACACAGCCAAAATTCACCCACTTCTCTTAGCTCTCTGCAGGGATCCTGCACCCTCAGGTGCTGCAAAGTTCACTTCCTGTGCAGCGACAGTCATTACTAACTGATAATAGCACTCACTTTGGAATCTTGTAGGGCCAATGATACTGTATAGGAAGGTGATGTGGATTTGCCCTTCTAAATTCTACACTTCATAACAGGGGTCTATCTTCAGAGATCCTGATTCATTAGCTCTTGAACTGGACCCCAAATTTTTGTTCTGAAGGACTCTCCAGGTGATTCTAATGATAGCCAGATTTGGTGTTCATTGTTTTCTGCACCTGTGTTTAATGAGGTCAGCTCTTTTTTTTCTGTTTGTCCCTTTGTTTGGTCTGTGAGATTCTTCAATAGAGGAAAGAACTACAGAAATCATCTTAGGAGGGAAAGGCAGTTATTAACTAGCTACTGTTTATTTGAATGACTACAAAATGAAAGATGGGACTGGTACTTTCCTTTTCTCTTGTGAGCCACCGCAAGTCTAGAAAGAAAAGCTAGTCATGCCACTCTGTGCCAAACATCTAGTATATTTTAGAGATATATGAGTGATCTCCCTTAAATGTGACTGTGATGAGCTGAGAAGAGAAGGAAGACCTTTTAGTTATGCTCTGAGAAACCCCTGCTTGGAAGAGTATTGAATAAGAAGTGAAAATCTTATAATTTATAATTTATTATTAATTTCACTCCTTTAACTCATAACAAATTGACTAATGACTTCTCCCCTCCCCCTGAAAATTACTACATGTGGTAGATTATAAACCTGATGAAGAGAAGCAGCAATACTCCATTAATATTTATAAATGTCTCAATGCTTGTATTTCCCATATATTTGGAAAATCAGCCCAAGTAATTAAGGAGTATGGGGAATTATAAAGATGAAAAATATCAGGAAAACAGCATGCATGGAAGTTATCAACATTATTTTACTTCTATTCCTACATCTTAATGACTTAATTTTCCATGAGTGGCATTGTTAAAATGTAAATTTCTAGATTAAAGAAAAAGCCCCAAACCTCATTATCATCCAGGCAGAACACATATTTTCAAACAGTAAACTTACATCTTGGGCTTCTCTGTGAGGTACTGAGAGTGTTTACTTCCGATGATTTTCACCATCCTCTCAGGCATTGCATCTGACCCATGGGGAGTCTTCCACATTGAAGGCATGATTCTTTTCAAAACGCCTCAAACCCTTGGGGGTGAAAAATAAGTAAATCTCTCCTATCAACTTTCTAGTAGGCAACTGTAGTGTGCTTGTCAGTAACAACAATAAATAGTGGATCAAGTGCTTTACCTATATTATCTCACTTAATGAAACCAATAAAGACATGAGTAAAATACTCTTGATTGCTATCATCATTCTTTTTTTACAGTTGAGGGAACAAGCATACTGTAGTTATGTAATAACTCAGCATCACATAACCAGTAATTAGCAGAGTTGGGACTCCCAATTACGAGGTCTGCACAATTGGCCTACTGAGCTACTTTGTGACTCTACCTTCCTGATATCAAATGGCATTTTTTTGTGAGGTTAGAGTGGTAACCAGGACTTCAGTGAGACATACAAAGATCTTATATTCAGCTCTGATGCTCAGTTTCTGCTTTTATAAAACCCATGGGACTCAGGGTGAGTCCAGAGATAATGCATCTGTAAAAGCAACATACATAGGAAAGAGGTTTTTTGTTTGTTTGTTTTGTTATATGGTCTGCTTTTGCAACAAGCCAATGAATTTGAAATTGAGATCCTGTACTAGATAAGCACTTGCTATTTAACTGGGTCCATGCCAAGGGGAACTTAAGGCTCTGTAAACCCTGTCCTGAGCTGACTACTCCCTTTTTCAGAGCCTCTCAGAGACTGAAAAGTCCTTTAGAAATAATTCTAATCCAAATGCTTACATTACAGACTAGAAAACCGAGGCCCAGAGAGGGTATGCTATTTGACCAAGGCCCCATGGAGAGAGAGCATATCCGTTTCCAGTGCTGGGGTCTCACACCTCAAACAGCATTCTTCCCAAGACTCCAGCTTTACTTGGTGGGTGGTCAGCACTAGGACCCGCTCTATAAGGGTAGCCCTATCCAACGGGACCTGCAACCTTTGAAACTGTCTGGAAACTTCAAGGACCAGAATTTATGATTGTAGTATTCCCTCTCTTCCCAGCATCTGCACATCAGTGCTGAGTCCTTTCCCAGGAGAAAACAGAGGGGGAGTCCTTACCCTTGAGGCTGCGTTTCCCCACCCAGGCAGCTCAGGGACCCGGGTAGCTCAGGGGTGTGCAGTAGGCACTGTCCCCAGGAGTCCCACACTAAGGCCCAGGAAGTGGGGCAGGTGGTACTGGGGATTGAAGCCCAGAACTCTGGCCAATCATGGAGGCCTGCTCAGGCTGGAGGCTGCTCCTGCTCAGATTGCAAAGGACGCTGAGGGCTGTTGCTGGGCGGAGACCAAATTTCTATCCACCTGGGGGAAACAGAGTCAGTCCCTCCTCTACAGGTGCCCAGGGTGCATGGCTGCTGACAGGCTTAGTTGTTCTCAAATCTTCGTTTTGGGGCTTCTTCAAGGATCTGTGAGCCCCTTTTTTTGAGGCATAGGTAGCTCACCTGTTGTCATCACGCTTGTCCCTCTCTTTCCCTTAAGCTTCATTTCCCTTTACGGGATTTGCACATAGTTGAAAATTGTAGCATCCAGCAAACTTGAGAACGAATATCGGAGACTTTCAGGGTATCAAAGATGTTACTTTATTGGCCAAGTTTAACCTGCGCAGGGGCGAACTCTTAAAGTGTCCAGCGACACAGTGCCCACAAGGAGCTGCAAACGAGAGCCGCGCCGAACGCTTACAACTACGTTCTTATATATGGGCAGGCAAGCAAGCGTTATACAGAAGCAGACGTGGCAGTTAGTAATTCGCTTACAAAGACCGCGCGTGGGAATTTCAAACCAAGCATTCTTTCATAAGGCGGGAAGGCAGGCTGTTTGTTCATTAACCTAGTAATCTCCTGGCTCTAGCTAGCTAGTTTTCTATTTTCTCATTAAAAACTACAAAGCACTGCTTATCTAGCCTACCCAGGGAGAGCGTCTGCTAGACACGGGATGTTTGCTTTAACTGTACTCTGTCTCTTTTATCATTTCTTTTCAGCTACAATGTGGTTCTTGTCTATTAAGGTTAAAATTTAGTTCTTAATTTCCTTGTTCCCAACAAAAATCTTACACTTGTCGGTTCAAATCCAGGCTACTCCGTTGGGCTTTGAATAAATCCCTGTTTTCCTCTGAGATTCAGTTTTCTCATCTTTAAAACAGAGAAAAATAGTAACAAGGACCTAAAGTTAAGTTGGTGATAAAATTACGAATGCAAAAAAATTTTTTGAGTTGTATCACCATGTCAGATCCCTTCTTAAAAAAGTTAACAATTTCTAATAAAATAATTTTATTTCTATTTTAAATGTTAAGAAAACAAGTCGTAGAGTGTTGAGAAATTTCCCAGGATCCCATGGAGGACTACATAGGCAAATGACAGAACCAAGATTTGAACATTATAAATATTATACACATTATAAATATTATAATGTGTACATTATAAATATCCAGGTACTTTCTACTATGCTAAAGACTTCAGCAAATGTGGGTAAAGGCACTTTAAATTGACTCCAAAATGATGTTATTTCTTTTCTGTCAGCAGCAGTGGCCTAAACATCCACATCAACTGCCTCCTGCCCTCTAGTTGTACTGTGTTTTGTGGTTTGCTGTGTTACCTACTGCATGAAGCCTGAGAGGCATGATACATTTGGCTCCCCTCCAGGGTTCTCTCTCTAGTGGGCAAGACACACAGGTACTTTCTGTGATACACAAAATGCCACTGTAGTAGAGAAGATGGACCAGTGCCCTTCTCACTCCTCCGGCTCACTCTTTTCACGTTGTTACCAGACTACACAAGGCTCAACTCTGATAACTTCTTCCTCTAACATATCTCAAAGAACTCCCATCAGCCATGGAGGTTGCCTATGGTTTCAAAGTCTTCTGTGTCCTGACCTCAACCTTGATCTCTAGCTTGATCTTCCACTGCTTCTCCCAGGCTTGCTATACATCCCTCTGGCTTGTTTATTTCATAAATGAAAATTTGTACCTCTTAATCCCCTTACCTTTTTGTCCATTTGCCTCACTGCTATCCATTCATTAAGTTCCATATCAAATGGTCAAGAACATTCACCTTGGGTTCAAATTCTAGCTCTGCTAGTTCAATGTGATTTTGCTGTTAATCACTTAACATCTTTGTACCTTAGTTTCCTCTTCTATAAAATGTGGATGCTTTTTTTGGTGAGGATTAATTGAGTTATATAAGTAAGGCACTTAAAACAATGCCTGGCACACAGTGAGCAATGTCAGTGTTTGCTATCATCATTATTATAATTATCTGTCAAGAAGCCAAACTAGATCCCAGAAGCCGAAAATGGTTTCCCCATTCTTTGTATAATTTGTGATTTCTCTCTTATAAAATGTCTTTCTTTGCCTGAAAGTATGACTATTTGTTTGCATCAGTTTTCGTATCTTTTTGGACTATGCTGTGGTAGGCTGAATAGTGGCTCCCCAGCTGTTCACTTCTTAATCCCTGGTCCCTATTAATGTTACCTTCTGTGGCAAAAGGGATTGTAGACATGAGTAAATTAATGATATAGAGATGGGGAGATTATTTTGGATTATCCAAGTGGGTCCTAAATTTAATCACAAATATTTTTAGAAAAGAGGGAGATAGAGGGAGATTTGACTGCAGAAGAGGAAGCAGGAGATGTGACTATGGAAGCAAGAGGTTAGAAGTGATTTAAAGAAGGGGGCCTGAGCCAAGGAATGCAGGCCACCTCCAGAAGCTAGAAAAAGTAAGGAAATGGATTTTCCTTTACAGCCTCCAGAAGGAGCCCTGCTCACCTCTTGACTTTAGCCCATTGAGGCTGATTTGGCATGTATGGCCTCCAAAACTGTAAGAGAATAAATTTATTTTGTTATAAACCACCAACCTTGTGACAATTTTGTTGCGCGTGGGTCACCGGCTAGCAGTGACCACGGCACACTGTGGATGGCTCGACAATACGCGAGAAAAAACACACATGCACAGAGACAAACCAGTTTCTGTGGGGAAGTAGGGACAGAATGGCCACCCCCCTAGTGGGGGAGCGCGCCGATCCACCGTCCATACCTGCTTTTATTAGGCTCATTTTGCATAATAACTCAGGTAACGTACAATACTCATTAGGGGAAGTAAGGAATATAGGAAACAAAGAACTCTGCCGGTCTATTGAGTTGGGGGGTCAAAGAGCTGTAAGGCTGAGGAACAAACTAGCTTCCTCCTAAGACCCTCCTCATTCAACTGAGAGCATTCTTAAACAAAGAAGGTTTCACAGTAATTTACATGTTCTTTCTTAGGCCTGATCACCCCGGGAAATCCGCACTTCCCAGTACCGAGCTGTACTTCCCCGTCATTGTTTCAGGCTTAGGTGGAGCGCGGGAACTAAGGCCACCGAGAGATAAGGAGATTTTCTTCCGGACGCTGAGAACTCAGACTTTGTCAAAGCCGAGGAGTGAGGGTCCATCACCCCCTTTTGCTGCAGCCCCCCCAAGTCCTTCTTTTGGGGGGCCTCCCAAAGTGATCGTGCCTGGCTTGGGTTGTTCCCCCGTGGGGAATCTTACCCGTCTTTGGCTAACCGACCAAGCTTTTGGGGGGTTCAGTTGCAGAAACAGCATTCCTGCCAGGAAGATAAGCTTTTGTCTCCTTGCTGGCTCACGGTTCCAAGGGCGTTCCCTTAGCCTAGCCTAGGGAGGGGTTTCAGTTTTCTGATACCAGTCAGGGCGGTTCCCAACACAATTTATCATGGCAACCATAGGGAATTAATTCAATCCTATTGAAGGATCCACTTCATCATAGGACTGATCACACTTATGCCTTAAATAAGCCAAAGTTCTTATCAATGACTGGTGTACAGATATTGAAGGAAAAAACATATTCTATCTATTGGGGTTACTAAACTGTGAGGTGCTGGGGCTATTGGAAGATATCTATATCAACACTTACTGACTTTCTTTCAGTAGAAGAGGAAGCCAGGTCAGAGCTGAAAAGGGAGCCTCTGTGGTGAAGGGGAGGAAAGCAAAGAGCCTGGATCCAACTATGCTTGAAGGTAGGTTCTCG